GTAGACTCCACCTGCTGACCTTGTGGTTCTCAATCCAGTGTTTATCATATGGGGACTTCAAAAAGTTCACAGAAAAATGGAATGAGGGGGAGGGAAAAAAATTTTTTTTTATGGAATTTTTTATGAACTTTTTGAATTCCACTCTTGCAGTTATAATCCCTATGGCCACAAGCAAGATATCTATATTTCAGGTAACTTTTTATAATAGCCTCCTGGATCATCACTTTGTCTCTTGATACCTAATACCCTCACCTCATATAACCCTTTCCACTGCTGGAGAAGTATTTCAAATGCAGCTGAACAATTCTAGCCCCTCCTTTAGAATCAGTGACTCTCCTTTTCCTACAGAAAAAAATTTTAAGAATAAACAAAAATAAAAAGTGATGAAACACTTCATGATAAATTATCACCTTCCCTTCTTTTGAGTTGAGCACCACCACCATCATACTTCCTGCTATCTTAGACAGCTGACATATCAGCCTGATTTTTTTTCCTCACTATTTCTTTAAGAGAATATGTTCTAATATGCCCCCCTTTTTATTTTACTCATGCTAAGATTTTTATCCAGAATATTCACTTTAAACTTGTCCAACTAGCAACTTTTTATTCACTTTTCAAGTATCCAGTCATACATTCCTGCTCAGAGATCTAAAAAAGCTATTTAGATACTTTCATGAGCTTGATCATCTGTTTTCTAGGAAACACTGTCTCAGTGAGTTCTTTACATTTCTCATTTTGTTTTTAAGACTTATAATAAATAATCTTGCTAAATTTTACCCATTTCTAGGTCATCCAAAAACCAAGGCTTTTATAACTCATGGTGGAACCAATGGAATCTATGAGGCGATCTACCATGGGATCCCTTTGGTGGGCATTCCCTTATTTGCGGATCAACCTGATAACATTGCTCACATGAAGACCAAGGGTGCAGCAGTGAGTCTGAACATAGATACAATGACAAGCACAGATTTACTCAATGCTTTGAAGACAGTCATCAATGACCCATTGTGAGTGGTTATAACGTTTTTTGTTTGTTTTATATTGTTTTTGTGATGTTGGGGGAATGATTTGCCAAAGATTTGAGAATAATGGGGAAGTTTTGAAATAGCCATAAGTAAAGTTAGAGGAAACACTGAACTTGGAAGAATTATGACATGGAAACAAGTTGAAATAAGAAACATGAATATTACCCAAACACCATTTTGTACAGTTGTGTGAATTTCTCTTAGCATTCCTCATTAAATGTTTTAAACTATTTTTAAATAGTTTAGTTTTACTAAAATGGCATAACATAAACCTCAAATTTTCATTATATTTAGTACTTACCAAAATTTCTATCATAATATTTTAATCACTGATAAATGGTAAACAACTAGGCTGAAAATGTATTTAATGAAAACCATTGGGAAATGATGAAGATCAAATAGCACAGC